CACTTCTCGCTGATCTAAAGTCTTCTCCAGCCTGCCGCCAGCTTCTGGGTGTGAAGCCCGTTGCCAAACATGCTAGAGATACCTTCGACAGGTAAGGAACAACCGAATCCCGCCCATGCTGTAACATGGCCGGAAATACACCGTCCAGACCCGGGATTTTGTATGGAGCAAACGAATCGATCGCCCATACCATCCTCTCGAAGGTAGCAATCTCCCTTGCAGTGCGCCAGTCCTCCCTTGAGGCCCTGCGTAACTGCATGCACTCTATGATTGGCCGCGCTACTGTGGAACCGTGAAAGTGCGTATCGTGCGTATCCATCAGAAGCTTCAGAGAACCTTCCTCGGAAGTAGTACTACCTCCCAAAGAAATGGAATGGTGGGAATATTATATAATGAAAGTTGTACTATACATTATTAAGTACATCACAGATTGTAGTGGAATAGCAAGTTTTCTTAAATTAATGGTAATGTTTAATAGATGATCACTTGATTGTACGTTTTTGGGATTGCGAGATGCCAAAGAACCGGTCTTTTTGAGGATTTTTTGTATTGTTTCATAAACTTTTACTTGTTTAAAAATGAAATTAAATATAATCAAAATTTAATTGAACTTCGTATCTATTGATTGATGACACTGAGTTACCCATTTTTTGAAGAATCACCCAAATTTATTTTGCGATATCAATAGAAAATACATATCAGCGCCTAGGTGTGAGGCACTGCTAAAGTGTTTGATATGTGATGGCGTCATTTCAAGTTTTTCTGTGATTTGGCTTAATTGCACACAACGCGGGCCCAGTGTTGATTTTCCGCAATGCTCCTCAAAGTTTTGGAAAACACAAAAAAAACGGGAAAACTCGTAATTTATAACACATTAACAGATAAACACTACATACTTTCTGCAACCAACAATGCATGGTTGAGCGCGTCGTGTCGTTGAGTCATTTCTCCATAGATGGACTCTCACAGCGATCATAGTCATAGAATGATTTTGCACACTTAAAACTCCCTAGTCAGCAAATTGACATTCTGTCTTTTTTTACGTTTTTTAGGTTTTTTACATAATACCCTGCGGCTTACCGAAACCACGTGCTTTTGCCCGTCTTCCTTTCGCGTTATTATGTCGAGTGAAAATGGCAAATATAATTAATACTAAAAACATGAATTTCGAGTATGAATTAATAGCTCAAAAAAAAACTAAACATCTCATCTTTTGGTTTGAAAACAAGGAGGGACAGGATGCGTGGTTAGAAAGAGATCCAGCAGGCTATATGAGAAGACGCGGGAGAAAAAAGTAGGGCTCGACGCCAGCTGGGTCAGCCCTTGAGTAAGAACGAACGCTTCAACTGCACGACCTGCTGCATCCGTCTTGTTTGAGCCTAACCAAAGATCATTATGGGCATTAAAATCATTAAAATCACCGAGGAGAACTACCTCTGAAGCGGGGTGATTGACGTTCAGTAAGTCGATCTTGACGGCGAGGTATTCAAGTAGGTCATCCCAGTTATGGTCCAAGGGAAAGCGATAAAGGCAGGCAAATAAATTTGCGGGGTATTTTGGAGTTGAAGGGAAGCCACAGAATGTCCTTCAGGACTGATTCCAAAGAAATATCTCTGGAGGACTAAAAACTGCTGCGGATAAAAGCCACAACTTCCTCTTTCTTTCTCAGATTAGAGAGAACCTCGTAATTTGGGAAGCTAAGATGGTTAGTCAGTGTAGAATTTGAGATTTTTGTCTCCGCCAAGAAAAGCATGGCGTGGGCGATTGGATTGCGAGTACTGATGAACAGCATCAATGTTGCTGTTAATCCCGCAGATGTTCGTGAAACAAATTTTATCATCGATGTTGTTCCCTCGAGTCCACCCTCCAGCCGGACATTTCGAGAGTGGAGTGAGTTTATGTCCGGAGTTCTTAGTGCTCGAGGGATCCATCATCATTAATTTCTTTGTTGGGGAAGATAACTGACTGCGTAGCTTAGGTGTGAAAACATGCGGACGTTTATAAGAAAAGCTAGCGGCTGGGTCAACTGGATTTTATCTACCACCTTCTTTTTGCGGGTTAAGGATGTTAAATATACCTGAACTGGCCCGTTGATGGTACCGCCATCCGGGAATCGATACGCAACGCGTGTACAATCACTTGAACGGGAAGAAGTTGTACACTGGATACAACAACTTCCGGATCAAGCATTTGCCACGGCCCCGCTCAGTAGGCTCTCTGGGTAGAACATTGACAGTTTGGTTTGGGAATCGAAATTTCTCATTCTTTATTATTATATTTTATTTTTTGGCTTCGAATCTGTGGAGTATAAGATTTTAGAACGCCCTCCTACTTCTGACATTAATTGATAGTCAACTGACTGACTGACGGAAGGCCGGAAGTCTGGAGTCTGCCATTTTTTCTTCCCTGTTGAGGCTTTTGATTGTGTGTGTGGTCGTCTGGTTGATTTCCAAATTCTGTGATATTGGGCTCCAATCACCTGTTTATGGAGCAGCACCTTTTTTTGTACCTACCTTACGTATAGCTGTCTTGATTGTTGTTTGGGTGCTACTCTCTCTATTTTTATGGGATTTTAACCTCTTCAATATGGGAAGGTATTGAGGAAAACCACCATCCACTCCTCCAGCTTTGTAGCTGTTTTGTAACCGATTTTACTGAGAGAAAAAACCCTGTTTACATCAGGGAAAAGCCAATGAGTTGAAAAGTAATTTAAACATATTACGACTTTCGAGAATTATTATTCTCTGTATTACAATACAACGAAAAGCCAGTTCAAAATGTTATACGGTTGGAATTGATCAAGACATGAGGATACCTGGCTTCAGAGTCCTCTCCATAATAAGGAGTTTTTAGTGATCTTGTTTTGTTTCTCCGTTATGATGTTCCTTATCTCGATTTTGCACAGTAACCTTTCATCCGTTATCAAAATTAGGTTGTTACCGGAATATGTAAGGCTGAATAAGCTTAATTAATGCAAGTTCAAGTTATAATAACATGTATACATAATTTAATGGTAGTATGAATTTTAGATCACATATTGCATATGCTAGCAATAGGCAGTGTTCTAAATGAATTGAATTTTTGTTGTATTTGCAATATGGCAAGGTATCCTTTTATTGTACTTCTGCTCATGATTCTAAACCTATTCATTCATGTCGGTTTGGACACAAATGTTACCAATGTACACGCAGGGATGCTGGCGACTCACTTTTTTTTACTTTTTTCTCACTTATTTTATCCATCTAACTTTTACTCACTTTCCATTGAAAGTATTCACTTTTCTCACTATTTTCGCTCTCTCTGTACATACGAGTATTGTAGTTAATGGAAACTTTCGAAGAAGCTGTCTTTTCAAGCCCCACAGAATTGAGTAGGAATTTTTTTATAAAAATTAACTATGACAAAGTTGTTCATGTACAGGGATCTCCCCAGGCTGAGCCAATTTGTACATATTACATGAGAAATTACTAGGTTTAGTTAATATCTACGTTGAATTTTACCTCGGAAACGGTAAGAAATATAATACCAAGTCGTTTATGCAGGCAAAGTTGCTGTAACTGATAAAATGTTACTTAGATAGTTTGGTAATTTAGAGTATTTTCGGACAGAGAGAGAGGTAGAGAAAAACAGAAAATACGAATTTACCTTGAACCGTTTTCATTTTCCTCTGGTTTAATTTGAGCTAGGATTTCAATATAAATTGCTTTGTGCAAGTAACTGTTAGTATATTAGTTCGCTAGTAAGCATGTGTGAGAATAATCTTGAGACTGAATTTTGAACCAATTAACCTTAACCAATTGAACTGAAATTTTGTAGACCTGTCTTGTTCGTGTGATAATACATAATGACTTAACGGCCGCCATTTTGAATCTAATATGGCGTATGCTACATAATGGCGATTTATCATTTCCGTCGTATATGGTATGAGTATCAAATAAACGGGCTTGATGAGAGAAACACAATAAGTAAACTGAAGTCATTCTAAATCCATGACGGAAGCAGCAATTTGGCGATTTATAATTTCCATAGTCACCCTTATAATATGGGCATCAGGTGAAAGGACTTGAGAGACCCACTAAGCAAGGTGACGTCATTTCAAATCAAATATGCCGACCGTCGCAAGATAGCGTTCATAATTTCTATAGTTATATAGTTATGATATGGCTATCGACTGAAAGGTCTTGATGAGAGAGAAACAGTAAACAATGTGACGTCAATATAGATCTAATCCGGTGGCCACCGCAAAATATCGATTTAAAATTTCGAGTCACCCCCGTATTATGAATAACAAATGGAAAGGATTGATGAAAGAGAAACAACAACGTGACGTCATTCTAATCCAATATAGCGGACGTTTAATACTCGTACGGCAAATGACGAACCCATCAAAGAAGGCGTAGTTCGTTAATCAACTATTCTGTAAAAAATACTGATTTAGAATAAACTGTATGAAATTTCAACTTTTTGTCATTAGCTAGTTCGCTAAAATGTAGGTTCAGTCAATTGGGCAAGAATACGTAATAAATAATAAGTAAGTCTCCCATATTTAGAAGACTTTGTTATATTGTTTATGTTTATTTTATGCAGCGTATGCATTTGATTGTAAAATATTCACACTTATAAATAATTATTTTTGCCTATGTCTATACAACAGTAACAAAGACCTTATAAGAGTTATTCTCGTTTTTTCACACCTTCTAATTTATTTTGTCTGTTTAAATTGGGTATGATTTCAATTTCTCAAAAAATTAACTTATTTTTTTATGTATCCTACTCATTATTTCGATTTTTTCACTACTTTTTTAAAAAATCTTGAAGAGGAAAACGAATGCACAACAAAAAAGTGAATCAACGTATTTTTCGATAGTGTAGTGTGAAAATATAAATCTGATCGCTCTTGGTCTGTTGAATATAGTCTGAGCTACCCTGTGTAAATGTGATAAAGATCAAGTTTTAATTAAGATTTATCGTATTTCATTTAGACTAATTTTTCATTATAGATGTATTATAAAAAATGGACTCTGGAGTGAAGAAAGCACGTAAACCAAACCCCCGAGAAAATGCATTTCCACTTTCAGCAGCTACATTTTGGTGAGTAACATATAATTTTAGAAATATCATTAAAATCATTGGCATCAGTAATATGTGAATGGTGTATAAGAAAGTCCAAATCAACTGATGGAGCTATCGTTTATTATCTATAATTTTTGGATCATACCATTCCCGGGAAATAATGTTGTCGTACAGTGCAATAACATCAGTAGCTACTGCATAATTCAGAGTGTTATCTGAGTACGTGGCCAAACTTCAGGAGGTGATTCTTCGAATAATATTAAGATGAAAAGTTTATATAAACATAAGTCCAAAAATGCTTTATTTTCAAGAAACTTTTTTTAATAAATCGGTCTTTCCTAAATATCTTTCAGTTCATTTTGTTAAAAATCTATCAGTAGTATTAAGGGCAATAAGGCGCTGATTTAGCCCCAGTTAGATTGGAATTGTTATGTCCAGTGGTGTTCCGGAAAACACACTAACCAATATCTTTGACAAAAAAATTTGTGCGTCACTGACTTTTTTCAATTTTCCTATTTTTTCCAAATAAGCAGCTAAAAATACAACTTTTTTTGTCTACTGAGTTTATTTCATTCTTACTGTGGCAGGTCTTCCAATTACAGCAGCCGACCTTCGAAATGATTCTCACAGACTTTCAGGTATTCTCACGAATGTTTGTCTATTTGGTATAATACCATGAGGATATCTTTCTTGATAAATGCGCCTAGCCGCTCTACAATTGCCTTGAGCCATTCCACGAACAAAATGCGGCCATTCGGTCATTTCCGTGTTTGTAAATTGAACCATTTTCCAATATTAGTAATTTTATAGCTTAAGTCTGGATTTCATCAAGATTGTCAAATCAACAAGCTGTTATTTTCCACATATAGGGTAACCGTCTGTCAAATATAGCTTTAAGATCCATTCAACAAATTTTTTTTTAAAAATAGCTGTGAAATATTGAAAACAAAATATTCCCGAGGTATGAGATGAGCAAGAATCGAAAAGGGAGTTTTCAGAATGGTTGCAAAGGATTTTGAAAGGCCGACCAGTAGGTTCATTATACAAGTTGTAATATAGATGTATGCCCTCAAAAAACTAGTGTGCGCGTTCAATATAATAGTAAATTTTTTTCATAGATGGCGCTGGATGACTCAAATGACCTTGATGTACCACGGATCTGAGGACGGAATTTTTCCCTATACCGAATTCAACGACACTGTTTACCGACCGATTCAGTTTTTTTTCGGTTCGGCAACACTGCAAAAACTTCAAAAGCAATTTAGATTTGAGACGTCTTCCAAATAACATAAAAAGGAAAGATAACAATAAGTTTTTCAAATATTCCGTTTAATAGGTATTGTTATGAAATGATATGAAATATTTATTATTCTTAGCCCTAAAGCTACTTCGTATAGTTTATAATAGTGTCTTACTCAAGTAATAAACAAAATAACAGTTATTCTAGATTCCCTAAAAATCATAGTAAGTGCAACCACAGGAAATGCAACAATAGCAAATGCGAGATAATGACATACAGTTATCTTAACACAGAAAGTACATATATTATGCCACTCTATCTATGTAGATACAATTGCTTAACCTTACGAATAAATATATTTACAGACGTCGCTTCTCTAATTTCTGTAGGTAATGCATTAAAAAGTCTTAAACCATCACTAAAAAGACATTTTTGCATATGGGATGTTCTAGCAAATTCTACGTCAAAAGTGTTACGTGACCTGATATTATATGCATGCCTCTCGGACCTCGGTATTAGATATTCCTGCAAGTATTCAGGCAATAAATGATTTTTTGTTTTAAAAATAAATAATGCATTTGACATTTCAACCTTTTGCTATATTAAAATCCATCCGAGGGTTTTTAACATTAAATTAATAGGCATATAACGTGTACAAAATAATATAGTGCGCATAGCCTTATTTTGTAGTAACCGGAGCCTTTGAATATCAGTTTTTTTGCATGATAGCAACAATGAAAAACAATAATTAAAATGTGGATATATGATGGTATTATATACAAGAAGACACTCCAGTGACTAAGACTTTCAGATATTCGCCTAAAAATCCTATTTTTTCCCCAATTTTTTTACTAACATAATCAACATGCAGTGAAAAATTTAGCTGAGGATCTAAAACTACGCCCAAATACTTCATACTAGATGCACTTTCAATTTGAATATTATCTATCTCAATACAAAATTTATTTTCTAAAAATGTATTACAGTTGATTCTGACTTATAATATCTAGACGATGAATAATAGGTGCATGCGGATACAGTTACAAATATCGATGTTTCATGTGCTGTTCGTTTACGTTTGGTGTAGATTTCTAGATCATAAATTGGTAATAAATTGTTTTTGATAAAACGTATTATCTACAACACCCTGTATGTGATATAGAGACGAAACTAGATTGCCATGCATGAACAGCCGTCAAAAAGAGTGAAAACATCCTATTAAATATAATAGCTAGAAAATCGACCTATTATTTCTTGCATTTTCATTGGCCCATTCAAATAAGTTTCCATCTTTTATGAAATGATAGAAATTGACAATCCTATGAAAGTTATCCTAATTCTAAAGCTCTAAGATATGGTATTACATCTAGATTTTACCCTTGTTTGTAAAACAACCGCTTTTTCACGATTTTATTCAATATTTCAGTAGAAATTGCTGATATTAATAGAGCTTTGACACCTTCCGCCAAATTGCATTTTAATAAGCTGTTCCCTAATTAGTCGAAGACTCCGTTATATTTTAATGGTAGTACAATCGACCCTAAGACTCTTAAAAACACTTCAAATAATTACGATCATTACTTCCGCACTGCCTCAAGTAATTTATGTCAAAGTCAGTTTGTTTGAGTAGCAATTGTTTTTCCTTCAATGGCACTATAATTTTTTGTTAATTCCAAAACATTGCTGCTATAAATGATTTATAAATTGTTACGTTGTGCGATTTTTTATGCTATTTTGTTTTATCGAAATTAGTTTTGAATATGTGCGGAAAAATTCAAGAGATGACTTCCGTCTGTTATTTGCTTAGTTTGGCAGCTTTAATGATTTATTGTTATTGTCCCAGGGAAGTGCTTTTTATTTTTGATCTGATCTGAAAAAAATAGAAAAATTCACAAAAATCAGTGGCAGACAAATTGTTTGTCAAAGATATTGGTTAGGGTCTTTTCCGGGACGCCACTGGACTTAATAATTTCAATCTCATTGGGGCTAAATTAGCCCTTTGCTGTCCGTAATACCACTGCTAAATTTAAACAAATCAACTGAAAATTTAAAAAGATATTTAGGAAAAACTGATGTTTAAAAAAAAATTTGACACCCTGTATCTTGAAAATGAAACATTTCTGGAACTTTGTTTATATAAGCTTTTCATCTTGAAATTACTAAAAAAATCACCTCCTAAAGTTTGGCCACGTACTTAAGTAACACCATGTATACAGAGCTTTTCAAAAAGCATTCCTCCAGTTCTGAGTGGATTGAGTTAGCAAGCTGAAATTCGGAACGATGAAATTAATGCATTCATATGCATACAACATTTCAGCGTTCAAGATGGTGGCTGAACGCCATTTTGGAACATCTGGTGAATGGGAGGTCATACCCAAAGATTCTTGAATGCTTAAAAACCCTGGACTATAACATCGCCATCCTCCAAAATTGCGGAATGGTAGGCTGTCGAAGTTGAATTTTTTTGTGCAGTGAGTCGCTTATAACCCAACCAATCGTAAAAACGCTACAGTATATAATATCAAGAATCATCTCTTTGATAAGTCTATCCGAATATGTAATAAAATATGGGTTTTGTGCATTGAATCGCTTCAAATCCATACACCAATCATTAAAACGCTGCTGTATGTTGCATCAATCGTTTTCCTCTTGGAAGCGTCTATCCGAATGTGTAAGAAAATATGGACGTTTTAAATTGAATGTTCCAGATTTTATCGGACATTCAGATAGACCCTTAAAGACTAAGAAGATTTATACAACACACTATATTGCTTGTGGATTACAAGTAATTCAATGTAAAAAACGCTCAAATTTAACTGTCTGCCGGACCGCTAATGTAAGCTTGAAAATGACATAACCAAATCAAAAAAATATTCCAAGGTAGCGTTCAGCTGCCACCTTGAATTGTTCAACTGTTAATTTCAACAGTCCTAATTTCAGATTGCCTACTTGACTCGTTAAAAATATCTACGAGGGCGGCCGATAAATACAAGAGAAAAACAAAATTTTTGGTAAAGTAGCGATTTATTTCTCAACGTAGTCCCCTTTTATATTGATACACTGTACTCAGCGATGCTTCAACTTCTTCAACCCTTCTGAAAAATACGGTTTTCCGGAGGTCTGCAAGGTAGGCCTCCGTGGTGGCGATAAACTCAAATGTTTGCTAGATGAGTAACTTCATCAAGTTTGAAAACAAAAATAAGTCCCACGGGACCAAATCTGGAGAATACGGTAGATGTGGCAGCAGTTCGTAGCCTAATTCGATCAATTCGGCCGGAATGACGGCGGAGGTGTGAGCCGGTGCGTTGTTGTGGTGGAAGAGCAGTTTTTTTCACCAAATGGGTCCACTTTTTCTGCAATCTGGCGTCGACTCGGTCCAAAAATTTGGCATAATAGAGCCGTGTGATGGTTTTGCCCTTCTCCAGGTAGTCGATGTAGGTCATACCTTGTGAATCCCGGAAAATGGTGGCCATCACCAGTCCGACCGATAGGACAGTTTTCGCCCTCTTCGGAGCACATTCGCCAGGTGAAGTCCACTGTTTTCACTGAGCCTTGTTCCCTGGTGTGTATCAGTGGATCCATGTTTCGTAGACGGTGACAAAATTACGCAGAAACTCCTTCGGGCTGCGCTTAAACTGCTTTAAACACTGCCATGAAGTGGTCTAACGGTTGCGCTTGTTGTTCGGAGTGAGCAAACCTGGCACCCATCGCGCAGTCAGTTTTCTCATGCCCAGTATTTCATGCAGGATATGACCCTCACGGTTTCTTGAGATCTCTA